AAAGGTAGGCAGCAAGCTCTAGCACTTAGCTTTATAAGCCAAAATCATTTCGTTCCGCTCAGCTCCTCCATCACAGTGGAATACAGCAGTGACTTTAGAGAGGCTGCTCTAAATTGAACCAGGGATGGGCCCCAACATATTCATTCCCTAAGTTTTGATGAATACATTTTTTTTCCAAAACCAGACCTTTGTCTCAAGCTAAATAATGTGCTTCTTGACCCAGCCTGTTTTATATCAAGATTTTGAAAGTGTGACGATTACCCGAGTAAACAAATGAAGCAAAAATTCACCCGTTAGGGTAAGAATAAAGTTCAAAACTTTATTCATTTACTTGGTTTGAGTACAACAGTGATGTAGATTATAGTGGCACTGAGATGGTTGGGTGACATTTGCATCATGAAAGTAGAGATGAACAGCAATGATGCCAACAATCCCTTTTGCAGAGAAGCAGATTTAACTGTACAGACAGGCATTGGTGATTTTTTATTAACCACGGCTCCAGATCAGAGCTGTCCCACGACAAAGGGAAAGAAAACAAAAAACAAACAGGTAATCTGAAAAAGGCTACTGTATCGCATTTCTGGAGACAGGTGGGGGGGGGTGAGGAGAGAGGAGACATAAAATTAAAAACCTGACAGTTAAAAACCTATCAAAGGGAAGCAAAAATATATCTTATTCAAATTATCTTCCTACAAAACAGCAGTAAGGCTCCCTCATTACAAGGGTTGTCAGTAACTATTTTGCACCAAATAGTGTCATTAACAATACAAATGGTGTCATTCACAATGCAAAGTGCTTGCTCTTATGGGGATAAACAGCACTTGATAAAGGCTCTCTTCTGCTCTTGACAGCTGAGAAACGGCCTGACACATTTTAGATCAGTCCCTGACTGTGTCATTATATTCAACTGGCTATAATTACTTTGGAAAAACAGACTATGCAAAACGATACCTATTCCTCTTTGAAGAAACAAGCACATGGGTGAAATCTGTCTTCTTCAAAACAACAGTGTTGTTATCAATTGACAGTACTGTACTCTGCCACTCACTAAAGTCAATTGCCAAAACTCCTATTGATATTAATGCGTATGGCCTGAATCCCCCCAAAAATAATGATTGAGCTCATGCTGTGTTACCAATCTCACACGTGGATAAACATTTTAAAAATGTAATAAACTTAATTGTTTCCCTATGACAGAAAACATTTTGAACAAGGAAGGAGTTCGGGTTCAGTGTTTGGGGTTAAACTATACTTATTTGACCATTTTTCAAAGGCAGACTTCAATAATGGCCCCGTTTCTTTGCCGGGAATCTGTGCCTTTAACAGCTACATTTCAGTCAGGAGCTGAATTTGTACTGCTTCTCCTTATGGTATCTTCATACCAGGAAAAGCAACACCTGTTGATTTGCCCCCTCTGTTATGAGGTTTCTGTTGGGGGGGAAATGGCACACTCAAAATATCAAAAAGAATACTAACTAGAACATTCAAACCTTTACTCTAGGCTATAGTTTGGGTCAAAATGTGAAAGGGAAAGGTGGACAGGAAAAACTGCCCATTAGTAAAGCACCATTAGTAGTTTCTCTCAAAGAGTGACTGTAGTATTTTAATTTCAAATCGCTAGCCACCACAACAGAGTTCAGAAATTACATAAGGGCAGTGTTTAAGGACACACCACAAGTCCACTAGAGTCTGCCACAAGTGATTGTCTGCATTCCAAATACTGCAGTCCTTCACCACTCAACAGCACTGTTTGCCAAAATTACAGTTCAGGAACTGGTCATGGAGAAAGTGACTACAGGATCAAAGGGTTCTTCTGGGTCTTTGATGAGGAAAAGGTTCTATGGCCCCGGTCACATGGCAAAGTTGCTGCGGGAGAGGCACGGATGGTGAGCGGATTATCCGGGCGCGATCACACCCCAACAGCTGGGAAGTGGAGCGCACTTGTGGCTTACAGCTGACAATGCGCGTTAAAAAACTAGTACCTCCAAGGTACTAGTAAACGTTTGCCACGGGCTGCCTCCAGACGCCCCTGGTGTGATTGCTCCGGCGCACGGCATTCCCCTTCGGTCCCTCGTTTACCCGCCGGCGCCGAGGGAAGGACCTGTGGTGTGCCGCCGGCACATCTGATCGCGTAATTGCGGATCAAACTGCGCCGGGGCAATTAGCCACGCCTCCCCCCCACGATATCCGGCCCGTGTGACCGGGGCCTATAGTTACCAGACATACAAAGTCAAAGTAGACAAGATACTTGAAGGTCTGTGACCAAATCTTCAGTGCATGTTTATTGCTATATAGTAGCCTTGGATGGGACAATTTGGAGTGGGCCCACAATGCAAGGGGGTGGGTTAACTGTTAAGTGCCTTGTTTCAGGCTGAATGAGACAGGCCCACAAATTCCTTTGTAACAGCTACTTGAAGTGCCTTAGTCATTTCTGTAGCTAGGGAAGGCTCAGAATTATTCACAATCATCTCAGCACTGCACCTGAAAAGGATAAACTGTGTGGGGGGAGTACATGTAGTGAAAAGAGGAGTTATACTTGGATGATCCCAAGAGGAAATTGAGGGACATGGAGGGCTAAGTCAACAGTGGTGTGAAAGAAGGGAAGGCCATAATAGTACTTGATGACAATCAGCTCCCCATATGGTAGAACCACCACATATGACATTTTCAAATAGTGACCTACCATTTCATATTTCCTAACTGCTTAGCTGAAGGAAGTCTGCTCAAAGCATTGGAATCAAAGGTCCTCCAATAGTTTCAAGATATAAATATATCTTGAAAGAAAAAAGCGCCCAGCACGGGCCTTAGGCTGAGGGCCTAGAACTAGTTGGCTGATTTGTTGGCTTGCAGTCTGGGTACGATACTCTCACTCCAACAGAAATGTCTGTCCAAAGCTCGTAGCACAAAAGCAGAGGAAGGAAGGACACCAGATCACATAGAGAGACAGTGCAGGTGATTGTTGCAGCAACAGCATGTGCAGGAAGAAGGCTTCAGGCAGGGCAGCCCACGTATTCCTTTACTTTCCATTTAGTATCTTGTCTTCAGCAGAAATTACACATTCCTCCAATGGTCAGGGTGGTCTACTGTAACCCAGAATGACTTCTCGATTGTAAACGCAGCTCACTTGAATAAACAATTCAGCACAATATTGTGACTTAAAGAGTTATTATAATTGGGAAGTAAATACAAATTGGTACTGAATTTTGAAACTCTCTTTACGCATCTTAATAAGGCTGCAATCTGTTTTAAGTGGAACACAAGGCAGGCTTAGAATCAGAAAGAGGCACAGCTTTCCCCAGAACGTCAGTGCCCTCCCCTGGACTAGGACTCTTATTATACTGTTGCTCTCCTCATCCTTCTATGTGGTCATATTTTTAAGTTATCTGTTGGCCGTTCCCCAACAGATAGCTTAAACATATAACTACATAGGAAACCAGTTTTCTATGTCATATTGCTAAGTGAAAGACAGAATTTTACCAATTCCCTTTATGGTGTAGAAATACAGTAAGATTATCTTAGTTTTTTGGCTGGATCCTCCACTTTGCCTTGTCTCCTGCCACATATTCTATAGTACCGGATGTGGGGTGAAATCCTCTTGGTAAATAATAATATAAACAATCATGCTCTCCAGGGGTGAGAGCTCAGCAAAGAGTAGTCTGTTGAGCTGAATGGGATCAGAGAACCAGCTAACCAAGTGTGTACGCGGCAAGTTACCTTTTGGTAAATGGCTGTGATTAGCTCTTACTTTTATAGGAACAGAAGATTCTGCTCCCTGTTGGGTAGTGTTAACATGACATCTGAATGCTCCACTGAGGACAAATCTTAAACAGTTCCATCATCCCTCAGCATTAAAAGATGAACACAACAGTGCATCCTAGTTGCCAAGAAGCAGCTCAGAATCCTGCAAAAAGCAAGATATGTGTGTTCTTAGCTGAAGAGAGCCTGGATGGCCCTTCAAAGATTTCTGGTAGGCGCAGGTTACTTCACACAATACTACGTAGGAAACTAATCATGTATCAGTGGACCTAGTGTAATTCAGGGACTGCCTTGGTGCATTCTTTCTACTATTTACCAGCCAAACCAGTCACTGAGGAAAAATAGAAGACAGCAATCTACGCTACAGCTTTGTGGCATTAAAAAGAAAGTAAAAATGAAGTTGTCTTTCCTTTAAAAGAATGAGCCTGTAACTACATACATGAATAAAACCCAATCAAACATTGCTTAACTTGATATATTATGCTGTGTTGTCAGTGCATACAAGAAAGTGGTTTGATCCATCTCCTTTAGCAGCAGAGCATAGTAGGAAGTGCCGTGTCTTGGAGCATCTCCTCCACTGAACAGCCTAAGTGTCATTTTCTATTAACAACAGTTCTGTTCACGATACCGATGTAGCAGGCAAGCAGATGTACGCCAAAAGTGGAGCTGAATCTGCCTGCACCAGCAGGAAACTGAATCCTGATTCAAATGTCCTTTTGCTGTATGGACCATGGCTCAGTCCCATCCTGACCTTTTAATCTTCGCAAAGCAGCACAATGTTTGCAGGCAGGGTGACATAGTTACTTCCCACCACCACTGGCAACATGCACTGACCACACACAAAGCTTCTGTAAGACAATTTCTAGGGCAGTGTCAGACAAGGTGATGCCATAGTGACTTCCGTGCTGTAGAGGTAGCATCTTTATGAGATCTATGCTTGGATTTTACTACAGTTTACCATTAGAACATTGTTAAATCCCTAGCTTGGGTCAGATGAAATGTGAAACCATGGTTTAATTAAATTGATTATCTGAGGCTATGCCACCACACTAACTAGGGTTAGCCAGGATACCTCAAGCCAGGGCCCGAAGGTGATTCATTAACCGTGGTTAGTCTTAATTATGGTTTTGTGTTGTGTGCAAGAGCAGTGGGGGATGTGGAACCGTATAGTGTAGCCCAATCTCATCAGATCTCGGAAGCTAAGCAGGGTTGGTACTTAGATGGGAGACCACCAAGGAAGATTTTGCAGAGGAAGACAATGGCAAACCACCTCTGCTTAATCACTCGCCTTGAAAACCCTACGGGGGTTGCCATATGTTGGGTGCAACATGACAACACTTCACACGCACAAATGGAGTATCCTGGCAGATGCTCCACATCATTGACTGAATCGTCTGGCAAGAGTCGCTCAGAAGTGAAACCTATCTTGCCTCCAGCTGGCTCTCACTGGGCCAAGCCTCTCCTTGCCCTTGGTGCCAAGACTCCCTTGAGACAAACTCTTCTCTCCACCCCACTTCCACTCTCTTAAAAACAAAGCAATGCAACAAGCTCCTTCCTTCCTTCCTTCCATCCACCCTAAGGGAAAAAGCAATGCCAATGGAGCCCTGGCTGTCTTAACCTCCTGTGCTCCATCCACAAAATGCCTTATACAAAAGGACCCTATGGACATTCATGACAGTGAGGCAATGGAGCTGGAGGAGGGAGGGGGTGGCTAGATGAAGAGAAAGCTAAATCGCTACTCCTGTGTTTTCTGCAGCAACATCCCCTTCCCTTTATATCCAACTTATCTTGGCTAGAATTTACAGCTATTATTGCTTTCTCTGCTCAGGAAAGTGCAGGTAATGCTATTCACCTATGTGTTTATTGCATAAGTAGAAACTGCTGCAGAACATATGGGTTCTTATGGCCTCTGTCTGTGAACACTTGAAGTATTTGTGATCGGCAGGTAGAAAGCGTTTGTGTGGAGTCAAAAACCTTCTGAGTCAAAAAATTGAGGTGGGAGGGATACAGTATCTGATGGACGTGTTATGTATGGAGAGAGCACAGGCGATTTGAGTGGGTTTAGTTGGTTGCGGCTGTGTGTGAGTGGTGCACTGGAATTGGCAGGGGGAGATTGATTCCCTCAGGGTTTTTCTCCCTTCTGAGGGAAGGGCTTCCAGCTCCTCACACAAGCCTCTGAGGGCTTGGAAGCAGACTGCTGTTCTGTGAGCAGCCACAGCTTCCCAAGAGAATCTTTACCACCTTCCTGTTGCCAGCAGCAAATAGTAGCAAGCTGCTGATGTGCTGAAATTGTTGCCATCAGTGATCCCCACAAGACAGGATGATGGGGCAGTAGCTGTGTCTCTGGTAGGGAGGGGGAGAAAAGAGTGACAACACTCAAAGCCAGAATCCGATGAGACAGGCCAGGATCCAATAACTGCGTGCTGACCGGTTCCTCCATGGTTTCGCATCAAGTCTGAATGGAGACCCTTTCCTCCTCTCCATGACAAACCAACCCTTTTTTGTTTGCTACTCTTGTTAACATCAAGCAATTGGCTTAAAGCAGGAGCTGTATTAATTAATTAAAGGGGGGGGTTCGGGGAAATGGAGGAGGGGAGGCCTGTCAACGACCACAGCAATTTGCTATTGAGATTCCTAGCAGATATGCGCAAGTGCAAGCTGGCAGTTAGCTCTCAAAGAATTAGGCTGGTTTGCAGCAGAGCGGACTGGAGCTGCATCACTGGCCTGCTTTGCTGATGAGCAGAAATAATAGGCAGTTTGAGAACAATGCCAATGAACTGTAATGGCCATGCCCAAAGGATAAATATATTACACAGGATTCCTTCCTTAACTACTGAATATATTCATTCATTCATCCCTTGGCAAGATCATGACTACATCATTGTGGCTTGGTGTCCTATGGGCACTTCCTGGCTCTATCAATGTAGTCCCTTTGACCTTTGAAAAAAATGGAAAACAGGGAGGGCAGAGCAGCTCCATATTGGGAATACATGTGTAAAAACTTTATAATGCATGAAAACCACTGCTGAGATTTTGAACACAGACACTTTCATGCCACGGCTCTCTGACAAAGTGGACAGGCCCTTGCAGAATCACAAGATGTATATAGATGCCTCTCTCAGATCTTCCCTTTTTTTCTTCTTTGCTCCTTGAGTGGTTACTCTTCAAAAAGTGTTTGGACTTAAGGTAATAATATGTCATCCTATATGTGATTTGCTTTTTCCCCCTTCAAAAAGACAGAGTGATTCAGAAGAGTTTGGCTTTCTTCTTCATTTCATTCCGTCTCCACAGAGGTAACTTGTCAAATTCTTGTATCGTCATGCTGAATATTTCTTGAAAAACCTCAGGTGCTAAGTGACGCTGAAGGAAGACAGGAAAGGGGGAAACAAATAGTTCAAAGATACAAAACGTACACCTCAATATCATTATCTTATTCAGCAGCCTGAATTACTATGGTGATGGAGAACAGGAAGGACGATGAAACAGTGATGCACAGATCACAGGCATCCAAGGGTCTCAAAACATCATGAAGTTGCCTTATATGGAGTCAGATCATTCAACTATCAAGGCTGGCATTGTCTATCCTCACTGGCAGAAGCTCTCAGGTAGTGAGGTGTTTCACAATCTCCACCAACTTATTATTTTAACTGGAGATTCCAGGGATTTAACCTTCGACATTCTGCATGTAAAGCAGATGCTCTGTTCCTCACCACATCCCCACATCCTCACCTCACCACAAATTCAGACTCTGAATCTGACACTTGGGGGGGGGGGAAATGAGGCATACTGAATGTACCTCTTTACGAGAAGTCATTTGATCAAATTAGTTTTTATAGGCTGCGGTCACACACACTTCTGATTCACTTTCCAACTGGATTTTACTGTGTGAACTGGCAAAATCCAGTTGGAAAGTGCACTGAAAGTGGATTGAAAATGGATTATTTAGTGTGTGTGACCGCAGCCTGTTGTAACACAAAATATCTGCATTCCATAACTGAAGAGCTGTGCCCTCTAAAGTCATGAAGCAAGGGTTCAGGAAGGGGCCCAAACAATTTGCTTAAATATCAACAAGGAACCCCCCCCCCCAAGGTCATGCAAAGTCTCATGGAAAGTCTCAGCATCAGTTCCTGGTGTCTCCAGTTAAAAGGTAGCAGGACGGAAAGCCTTAGAGCCCTTCCCGTTGGAGTAGACAAAAGTGAGATGAATAGACCAATTGTCTAACTCAGCATAAAGCAGCTTCATAATTTGATCAACCTTTTTCTGGTTTGTCCAGATGGCAGGAAATTTAAGCCGGGCAATAAAGATATTTTAAGAGGCACAAGCATTCATTTTAAAAAAAATACATTTGGCTTGTTCCGGCTGCAAAGTTCACTGCTAGTACACTTTAGAAAGAAGGCCAGTGGCACCTTAGAGATTCAGCATGAGCTTTTGTGAGTCACAGCTCCCTTCATTAGATGCTGGAATAAGTGTTAAGGTGTCACTGTACTTCTTTTCAAGTTTGCTGTAACAGGTGGCCTCTGTCCTAAAGATGAGATCTGGGCAGTTATGTTGTATAAGGAGTTTTCTTTTAAAAGGACTTCTTCATGGCTTACACTAAAGTATATCCAACTAGTCATTACTGCGGGCAGCAGAGAATGTGGTTATTCTTGGGCTCATTTGACAATACTGTATTTGTTTTAAATCTCCTTCTTAGTGGATCCACCTTCAATTGAGAATGTTAGCTACAACTGTCCTGTCTCTTCTAGTTCAATAAATGCTGCTTCTTATACGCAGATATTAAATGCATAACATTAAAGACCCTATGCTTAATTGTAGAATGTCATTTTATGCATAATTTCGATTCTTGTAAATAATCAAAAGACTGCTTTACTAAAGCATTGGATTTAAATGATTCTTGTAAACAATGTTCCTTCTAAGCTGTGGAGTCTTGTGAGCTGAAATTCTACTTTGTGAGCTCCTGGCATTAAAGTTGTGAGCGAGCGATTTGGCTACTGCATAAATTAGTTTGCTCTGGAGCCATCCCTTCCTGAGCGAAGACAAAAATGTGTGAGCCGGAAGCTAAAAAACTGTGAGCTAGCTCACACTAACTCAGTTTAGAGGGAACAGTGCTTGTAAATAATCAAAAGACTGCTTTACTAAAGCATTTGATTTAAATGATTCTTTGTAAATAATTAAAAGACTGCTTTACTAAAGCATTTGATTTAAATGATTCCTGTAAATAATCAAAAGACTGCTTTACTAAAACATTCAATTTAAATAAGTCCAACATTTATTTATTTATTTCTGACATTTTTACCCCGCCCTCCCTGCCAGTGGGCTCAGGGCGGCTTACAAGGGGCAGCCTGTGAACTCTTCCCTTCTATAAAACATGCTTCTGCCAGATCTTGTAAAAGAAGTAACTACGACGGCAAAGGTCGTCTTACCTCCAATCTGGTTCTGTCCACTTCTCTTAGAATTTTACTTCGCCCTCTGTTGGTCACCATGAGCATTTCATATGGGAAAATCTGTTAATAACATGGAGAACACATTTATTTTAGAATGTATCGTGGCTCTTAAAGATAATTCAGTCCCCAAGCACAAAGTGGTCATTGTTGGTAAACAGCTGCAAGGTCACTAAAAAGCGGCTTTAAATACTTGAAAGTCCACTTATAGGGTTATAGGTGGAGCCTGAATGGGATATAATTTCTTAGAGCCCACCATTCAAAGGAGCCATTTTGTCCAGGGGAATTGATTTCTTGTCTAGAGATCAGTTATACTTTGGGGAGATCTCCAGGCCCCATCTGGAGGTTGGCAACCCTAAATCTTCCAGCTTCCCCCCCCCAACGGCTTAAAATCAACTTCTGTAAAATGGGAAGAATTAATGGATTCTGCATGTCATTCTGTTACCTCTGACTGACCGAACTCCTCAAACTTTTCTTTACATATTAACAAGTATTTTATTAAAGAAACAATCTGCAATTAGTTAGGGCAGATATCTTATAACCTCTCTTTTAAAAACTATTCTCCTGCCCTACTTCATTTATCAGGGCATTAAAAAATAAACCTCAAGTTGATTTGCTAGGTATGACTGAACTCATAAATCAAAGCCAGCTGTAAGAAAGTTCTCTCTTTTACATACCTCACAAATTTCTTCTTCTAATTCCCTAGCTTTATAATTATGTTTGGGGCGGGGGGGGGACCAAGAGTTACTCCAAAACTTACTGGATTAGGTTTGCCAAGTCCCCCCTGGGGGGGGCGCGGGGAAACCCCTGCCCCAGAGGCCCGTTTCCTGCCGCCAGCGGATAGGGCCCCGGGGGGAACCCCACCCCGACGTGCACGTCACCTGGAAGTGACGCGACCACGCCGGGGACGCTGGGGGTGGGGCCACAGTCATCCGAGGGAAAACTCTATGGTTTTCCCTTGGATGGTCATGGCCCCACCCCCAGCGTGCCCGGCGGCATCACATCACTTCCGGGTGACATGCGTGCGGTGCGCGCACGCTTTGCACGCACTCCAGCCACCAGCCGGGAGTCCCCCGCTGCGGCTAAAAAAGCACTTGGCAACCCTATACTGGATGTTGGTGGACACATTTCTTTTAAAGACTGCTTGCCCAAAACTCACCTTCAGTTGACATTAAGAGTCACAAGAGAATTGGATGTTTGTTAGAGAGTTCTCTCAAGTTATGTGGGGTCATGGTGCAGCCTAACAAGCCTGATCAGCATGCTGGATGTACTGGCCATGTACCCTAAGACATATCCCAGAATCCTCTTTAATATGCAAAGATTCTTCAGCAAACGCATTGAATGGGGTGTGGGGGGTGTGGGGTTTCTGATCTTGCTCAAGTCTTCAAAACCCTACTGAGGACTATCAAGATTGCCATCCATCTTTCTTTTCATCCACACCAGAGTTCCTCAGATGTGTATACTTGCACAATTGCACTTGTATGAATATTCCATGTTAGTAAGAAACAAATCCACAATGCTGACTGGAGGAAGGGACTATATAAGTAGAAGGCATATAAAACAAGCCCTGAAATGACAGAACTTAAGGTAAAAAGGAGGTGCCTATGGGTGTTGGTGTACACATATTGTGGTAACATAGCTTTGTAGGGTGATTTTATAGAAACAAGGCATCTATCTGGAATATGATGCACAGGAAAAGGAAGAGATTTCCTTGTAAGCATAATACTGGATATTTTTATCCAATTACGTTTCTTTAAGGTAAACTGTTGTAAAAAGGAAATGTGTCTCTCAAAACACAGAGAGCCATAGATTAACATACTTGTATGTATGTATGTATGTATATGTATGATATATATATATATATAGCTAAGGAGTTAGTCCCATTGAACTCAGTGGGGGACTTTTTAGTAAATATGCACAGCTTTGTGTTCTAGGCTTAGGAGATCACATGTGAAAATCCCTATTGCATGGGATAACCTTGTATAAACTAGTACAAGAAATGTACAGAGAGATTGTTTCCCCCCCCCTCACTTGTGATTTTCTTTAAAGTTTTCAGATATTAAAATAATGAATTTCAAACAACATTATTCTAATATCAAACAATCTTCCATCAGTGGATTAACATTTTCCAATTATAAACTATATTTCTGCTGCTGTTAAGCATATGCAAGATAATTTCCTTATCTAGGCTCTCCGCAAGATATGTTTTAACTATGACAGAATGATACAATTAAACTGAGTGATCTGTAGAAGGGAATTTAATGCTTTCATTACTTAATCACATCTCTAATGTGGCACACTCAAAATAAATCTTTTTAACATGTCTCTGGTGTTTGCAATATTGTTTTAATTTTCAAAAGCTGATTTGGAGAATATCCATTAGTTCAGTGGGCTACATGTGGCTTTTTATTTGTCCCTCCATTCAGACTTACATCTCTTTATGCTGATTGCCTTCTGCAGACTGTTGTTTGCAGCCCAGAAGTGCTGAATGAACAGACCATGAGCATCTGGGCACTCACAGCATTTCTATTTTTTCATGTGCCTTGGAACATTGATCAACTGCAAATTTATTGGTGTACATGACACACATGGAGGGCCAGCTACAGTTCTTGAGCCCCCAAAGGATATTCTGAAATGCTGAGCTTCTGGAGTCCTGTCTTTCTCTTTGGGGAGGGGCTATGGCTCAGTGGTAGAGCATCTGCTTGGCATGCAAAAGATTGCAGGTTCAATCCCTGGCATCTCCAGTAAAAAGTACCAGGCAGTAGGTGATGTGCAAGACCTCTGCCTGGGACCCTGGAGACCCACTGACAGTTTGAGTAGACAATACTGACCTTAATGGACCAATGGTCTGACTCAGTATAAAACAGATTCATGTGTGGATAATCCACAAAATGTTCTTCAAATTACAAATATCAATCATTTGTCAAAACTTTGTTTCCAACCCAAATTACTCCATGTTGAGTGTTTTTCTAGTGAATGTAATTAATTTTCATTGCATTCTTAATTCATTGTATACTAGATAACTAAGCAGTAAGTAAATTCAGTGGTCTGCAGATTCAAGCTGTAGCATATGGCTAAGATTCCACTGTTTAGTTATTTGTCTGTGGTGTGGTTACCCTGTTTCTCTGCTGGGGTGCACCATATTCTGTACAGATTAGGGGTGTAATTTTGGTCTATTGGACCCCAAATATATTGGTATTTCCTGATATTCCTGAATCCCAGTATCGGTATGGTACTGGGATTTGGTAAATTGGAAAACTTGAATTTATTCAGCTTCATTATACCCTATGGGGACCATCCCCATAGGATATAATGGAGAATCGGTCTGGGGGTATCTGGGGCCTTGTGGGGGCTGTTTTTTGAGACAGAGGCACCAAATTTGCAGCATAGCTACTGGTAGCTGTCCTCAAAACCCCCCCCCCCAAGTTTCAAAAAGATTGGACCATGGGGTCCATTCCCTTTCAATGACTTTTGCAAGCTGTGCCTCTTGCTAGTCAACTCAGAAGCAGCGAGTTCACCACAGGAGAAGCTGTCCCCAGGATTTGTGTGCGATGTGGAGGTCTCTCGTTGCCACATGCAGACCTGAGAGGATCAGCTGAGAGCTCCATGCTGCCTTGGATGGGGCTGGCTCCTCTTGCAGCAAGCTGTAAGAGGAAACCATCAGCCATTAGGTATGGTTGAGCCCAAATAAAAGCTGAATTTTTCAGCTTTTACTTGAGCTCAGCTATATTGGTAGCTGAATTAGATTCTCTAATCTGTATTCAGCTGAATCAGTACCCAGAAAATACCAATAAGGTATTTTTGAGTATTTATTCCGCTTTGTTTATACCGAATGGATACCCCTAGTACAGACCTATTTTGGGGCAAAGGTTTTGGATCTTTTGACCTTCTGATCCTTTATATTAGCTAAAAGAGATCTTGTAGAACTAGAACAAGACATCCTTCTCTGAGGTATGTTTTCACAGGGTTTGTCATGATGTTCTGATTTGTAAACTAGAGCACTGTGGACTGGATTCTGGGATAATTAAGTGGATAGGGAACTGGTTGGAGAACTGCACTCAAAGAGTAGTTGTCAATGGCATTTCATCTGAATGGAAGGAGGTATCCATTGGGGTGCCAAAGGGCTTGGTTCTGGGCCGAGTACTTTTCAATATTTTTATAAATAATTTGGATGAGGGTGTGGCAGGGCTACTCATTAAATTTGCAGATGACACCAAATTGGGAGGAGCAACGAACACACCAGAAGATAGAGATAGAATTCAATGAGATCTGAACACACTTGAAAAATGGGCGGATGTGAGCAAGATGCAATTTAACAAGGATAAATGCTGAGTTTTACATCTGGTAACAAAAATGAGGAACACACATACTCAATGGGGGATATGCTTTTGGGTAGCAGTGTGTGTGAACAAGATCTTGGGGTACAGGTGGACTGAAAGTTAAATATGAGCAGCCAGTGTGATGCGGTGACAAAAAAGGCTAACACAATCTTGGGGTATATCAACAGAGGAATAACATCCAAGTCACAAGATGTCATAGTCCCACTGTACACTGCATTGGCCAGGCTGCCCCTGGAATATTGTGTGCAGTTCTGGAGGCCTCACTTCAAAAAGGATGTGGACAGAATGGAGCGGGTGCAGAGGAGAGTGATGAGGATGATCAAGGGCCCGGAGGCCCCTATGAGGAAAGGCTGAGGGACTTGGGAATGTTTAGCCTGGAGAAGAGGAGGTTGAGGGGGGATGTGATTGCTCTCTTTAAGTATCTGAAGGGCTGTCACTTAGAGGAAGGCAGGGAGCTATTCCTGTTGGCAGCAGAGGACAGGACTCGTAATAATGGGTTTAAATTAAGGGTGGGAAGGTACCAGCTGGATATTAGGAAAAAGTTTTTTACAGTAAGAGTTGTTTAACAGTGGAATCAGTTACCTAGGAAGGTGGTGAACTCCCCCTCACTGGCAGTCTTTAAGCAGGACAAACACTTGCCAGGGATACTCTAGGCTGATTCTGCATTGAGCAGGGGGTTGGACTAGAAGGTCTGTATGGGCCCCTCCGTGATTCTATGATTCTACAGTCAGCTTATTTGACTATGATGTTAACAATTAGGGCACAGTCTTCCCCAAGCTGTCTTCTATCAGATTTTAGAAAACCATTATAAAGGTTCTGCAAATTAATTGAGAGTATGCTAGTTGTTACCTTCTTACCAAGTAAATGTTTCAGAGGCACTATAAAGAGGATTCAGTCATCAATAAACATACACCACTTAGTTTATTGTAATTAATGATTGAAATAATGTAGACTTATATACAGTTTGGAAAAAAGTTATAATCTGACAATATCGCAGTTATACAAGTCACTGTAATATATAACTTTAATTACATGCCATTATGATTTACAGTGCAACATAAAGCTAAACCATGGTTTTATAACAAAAAAGGCAAGATCAACAAGACTTTGTTGAGTAGTTTTGTCATGAACACATACCTCTATTTTACAAATTTACCCAATAATATTGTTCTGAGTACTTTCAAAAATACTTTGGTTGAGTCCAAAACAAGTCAGGAATCTGAAATTATTCATTTCCCATGTTTTTAAAGAACAGTCTTTATGCCAAAGAAATTCAGGCCTAGAGTTTTTGGTTAAGAGTTTGGAGGCTGTAGGTTGTAGACAAGTAGGCTGAAGAGCAGATTTTCATAGGTTTTTTATATGTGATATGCCTATTTTATAAACAAAATTAAGCTAAGCTTTGCTAAGACACTAGTGACATTTTTAAAAGGGCAAGCACACTCTGGGTTCAGAGTAACCCACATATAAATTCAGTTAGCAAGCCAAAAGCAAATTTCTGCCATCTCATCCCTCCCAGTAATCTCCTACCAATCTCCATTGCACATGACAGCACTGCCCTTAGACGTTCCTGGGTTTACCAAGCAGTAGACAGTGAGACAGAGAGGAGACTTTCAACACAGTGACATACTGTCAAGCATTTTGCATTTAACAGATGTTATGGAGGAGAGAGACGGGAAATATGCAGAGCTGCTGCCTTTGGTAATGTCTCGTTCCAATGTTAATTTTGGCTTCTTCTGGACAAAGAAGTTTGATAAGACATGATTTCTTAAGATCTCTTGTACTGGGAACATAAAAGGTTATATAAAATTTTCAGCCATAATGCTCTTACACCACAAAACATATGACCAGTGTTGTCACCTATGACAGAATGTTTCGGAAGACTAATCGCACAGCATCCATCACCTTTTCCCTCTTCACAAAAGATTGCAGCTATAGGAGCAGATATTATTGATCACTTTTTCAGCAACTGGAGAAGATGATCCTCAAGTACAACCTTCTATTGCACTGTCACTGAACATTATTAGATAATGGCTAATATTTCTTTCCCCATATGATTTGCAATATCTTGCTTTCATGTACACTCAGTAAGCTGGATCCACAGATTTCCTTCAGCTAGTGATGAATGTTACTCTACAGGAGTAAGACTTCTCACTTGGCATGTGGGTCACTGGAACCAACCCAATGTAAACCAAAAGGAGCTCCTCCCCACATGCTCTGATTACTCTGAGTGCCTACTCTACTGACTAGATGGCCTCTCTTTCCAACATCCTCACCCCATCTCAATTGCCTTTTTGTTGTTTGTTGCTGGAACTGATGCTGCTGCCATATTGCCACTGGATGTGACTGGTAAGGATGCAACGGCCAGAATCGTGCCTAGTGGGTCTCTATTACTCGGTCAGATTGCTTGGAGTTGCTCAGAAAGATTGATCACTGAGCTGCTAGAGACATAATTTTTAAAATAATAAGGTCACAATGAACACTATTGTCACCCCTTCAAGATGTGTTGGCTGTTCTGGTCTTGTGTCTGACACAAACAAAGGAGGTACAACCACAATATATGTAGTCTAGAGCAAGATACATAAGGAACAGTGACTTTTTAAAAAGCAAAAGGACACACACGCATACACACACTTTTAATGACAGGCTATCATAATTTCAGATCCCTGTCTTGAATGAAAATGAGTAATGTTTTCACTTGCCTTTGGTTCCAACATGTTAGGCATAGATACTCCTCTGTCCATTCGCATTCCAGGGACATGATCATCTGGGAGGGACTGTATTGGATACAGGTAGACATCAGACACACAGGTTACATGCACACACACACACACACACACACACACACACACGCACACATAGACAGGGTAAAGTCATTCCTAGGGAATATGCTAATGATTTTTTCCCATGGCTCCAATATTTAGACCTTTACATCAGCCAATAGAATACTATTATAATCTGCTATGTAACACATTAATGAAATGGCCCAGAGAACCCCCTCAAACCTTCAGATTTTCTCTTACTTGTGGGTTTCATTTTGGGATTAAACAGCTTTTCTTGGGTTCTACCAAACCAGACCCAGTAAGGTTTACTAGCAAGCTGTGAGACCAAATGTCCATCTAGTCCAGCAGCTTGTTTCCAGCTATGGCCAGCTACATACTTCTGGGAAGTTTACAAGCAAGGCAAGAAGGCAATAGCCATCCCCTGTAGCAGAGGCTCACATGCAGGGGCTCAGAACTACAGGCAATAGTAACCCTCTGAAATGAATTGCCATTTCAGTCCTGTCAATTCTTTCTAGCTATACTGTGTGCTGAGATTCATTTTTTTATCCTTTAATTGTTTTTTTAAAACATGTTTTTGCTGAAGGTGGCTGCAAACATTCACTGTGTAGCTCCACAGTAATTTTTTCCTGCTAAGAAATTTTACCTGCTCAAATGATAAATCAAATAGTAAATTCTAGCTACTCCAATTAGGAACTGTAATTCTTTCCTTGTCAAATAGCATAATGAGTAACAGAGTCATTATAATTGTCTCCTCATTAGCATTTTAAACAGAAAGACTCATATCAAACTGTGATTAAATTCTGCAAGCTCAAGCATTTAGAGTTAGGATTGATAGGAAGGCACACCTCTTATTGGCTAGCAAACACATACAAAAAGGGGAGGGTCAGAGGATCATATGTGGAAAGTACAAGGGGTATGCATTTTCAAACCGTGAGGGATATGTTTGGATCTCTCCCTTCGGCTGGAAACAGAGAAATTGAGAGAAATCCCACACTCAGATGCTAAGAGAAAACTGCCACAGGACTGTTCTCTGTTAAGTCTTAGGAAAGTTTACCAACTAAGTCACAACTGACTTCTGAAAGGCATTGTACTAGCTGTGCCTTTTCCATGGGAATACAAGTTTACACAATTTATTTGGAGTAAAACATGTGATAAATGTATTAATAAACTCTTCCCTGTAGCAGGAATTCAGATGAGTAACACAGTGGTTGGGTTTTTGATGGAACTGTTTAAATTCTCCATCACTTGATAGAAGAAAATCCGTACTGTACCTGGAAATCTGAAAAGCAAGATGGGGAGGGGGGAAAAATCTCATCAGGATTAGAATGACAAGCAATATGGATTCTATTCCCGCGGCCTCTCTGGTAGGCTAACGCCCCCAAGTTTCATAAGCAACAGACTGTTCAGAATTTTCCAAATTCACCCTCATCAGCATACTTTGCAAGAGGAACCACAGCCATAACAGCAGCAGCAAGGAAAATGTGAGGACCAGGGAAAAGACACTGAGGCTGTGGTTACACACACTAAATAATCCACTTTCAATCCACTTTCAAGATGGATTTTTACTGTGTGAACTGACACAATCCAGTTGGAAAGTGCATTGAAAGTGGATTATTTAGCGTGTGTGATCGCAGCCTGAAACATCTTTCCACCTGCTGTGTGTGTTGTTATATCTTTACTGTTTTTATAAGCTGATTTAAAGGCAATGTGTGGTGATTTAAAAATATATATAAAATTCTCATTTACATGACGCTCTCTTTATTGTAAGAAGGTCTTGATGCATAATAGAATCTGATCCCTGTATCAGTTGTTATAACAACAGTTACCAGTTAGGAAGGATGATGGATTAATCTTTTCAGCTATAAAAACTCAAGCAAGCACAAGGAATATCCAAAGCAGCACAGAGATGTAAGTCCTTACCTCGAGCAGCACTGCTCACATCTCCGTAACTGTTATACTGACCAAAGTCTGTAGACACTGGCTGTAACAAGAAAAAATGAATGAACGTGTTAACCACACCATTAATGGCAGCACCACATGCTTGAGGAAACTGGCAGGAAACAAGCAAGAAAGACCTTGGCTAGGGGGACTCAAGAAGGTTATATTGTACTGTGGGGTGTTCCTTGAGATCTCTATAACCAAACATCAGGCATATGATCAAGACATGAAAGGGAACTGAGACCCCCCTCTCCAAAATGTGCAAGTACGTTAATGGTTAAGAGTCAGAATACAACCTCAAATTTCTCCAGTAAAAGCTGTCAAATTGTCAACTATTTAATGTATTATTATAACATTTACAACCAAGAAGTGAAATTACATGTGTGTCGCAGAGATGGAGGTGTGTCTGGAGTGAGAAAAAAAAAAATTCTCTTGGGCCAACCCTGAGCAGATGGAAGTGAAAGCTGAACACAAGCTTTACTGCATTCTGTTCCCACCAGGGTTTCTACTGACTGATGTTCATGGAAGCTTTAGGTCCCTAGGCACAGTATAATGACAGAAAGGCTAGGGAAATAGTTATTTACTCACTGAAGGGAACGAATCCAAAGGCATACAAAGAGAAGGCTGGTTGCAAGAACTCTTTAAACATAGAAACTGGAATAAAAAAATCTTCCCCTAATCCCATCACTGACAAATCTGATTGAGGCTTTATGGCTAGGGATGCCATCCTCCAGGTGGTGGCTGGAGCTCTCCCACTATTACAACTGATCTCAGATGACAGAGATCAGCTCACCTAGAGGAAATGGCTGCTCTGGAAGGTAGACTCCATGGCATTATACCTCACTGAAGTCCCTCCCCTCCCCCAAACCCTGCCCTCCTCAGGCTCTGACCCCAAAATTTCCGGGTATTTCCCAACCAGGAGTTGGCATCATATTTATAGCCCTTCCTAAACTCCAAAACTGTTGTATGGGACAGAGGGAAAGTTTCAGGTACAGGTATTGTCCTAATTTACAAGCAACCCTATGTGGCGATCCAGTGGAATCCATAAAAGAATAATGCCTCAAGGAGATCTCTGGAGAGGCATTTTCTTCACCCACACCCACACACCCACCATTTGCTTTCTGGGAGAAGCTGGCTGCTTACCCGATGAAGTCCATTTCTTCCATAGCCAGGGAGGGAAGAGGTTTTAGAGGCAGTGGCATGTGAGGCTAAATTGGAAGGAGAAGAAACTTCTATTATGCTACTGAACACAAACTAAGATCAAAACTGGAACATCTAAGGAAGCAGCTAAAAATCTATGAGGTTGTTGCTAAACAGCATGTGGAAACAGTTTGCATTCACACAACCTACTTGAGCATGGTCTTTCTGCCTTTTATTAACGTTCAAGTTAGTGTATTAAAGGTAATCAAGTGCTTCCTTTTGCCAGTTTGGTGTAGTAGTTAAGTGCGTGGACTCTAATCTGGGAGAATCAGGGACCAGTTTACCTAAGGGACCGCATGTTCCCCCAAGGGCACTACGGTCGGGGGACCCAACATCTGTTGGATGTTCCAGGTCCCCGGTCCATCAGATTAACCATGACCAGGAATAGGACGTTTTCGGTGGCAGCTCCTATCTGGTGGAATGAGCTCCCAGAGGAGATCAGGGCTCTGCGGGACCTAGCACAGTTCCGCAGGGCCTGAAAGACGGAGCTCTTCCGCCAGGCTTTTGAATAGGAGCCGCCACCACCACCACTAATGCACCACCAATGCATGAGTTTACCATCCACGCCCTATATATGGACATCATGATGTGGGGCATGTATCATCAATGCCCCACAACCGCTGCATCATGGGCGAGAACAGGACGTCTAGGGGGCGGCCATCCTTTTTTAGAAATTGTAAATTGGAATTTAACTGAGAGGAGCACTAATATTTTTTTTAATGCTGATGTATTTTAAAAATTTTGTACTGTTTTCTATTTTATTTGGCGATATGCCCTGTTAGCCGCCCTGAGCCTCCGGGGAGGGCGGGATAAAAATGTGAATAATAAAAAAAATAAAAAACCCGGGTTTGATTCCCCACTCCTCCACTTGCACCTTGCTGAATGACCTTGGGCAAGCCGTAGTTCTGATAAGAGCTGTTCTTGAAAAAAAGCAGTTTCTGTCAGAGTTCTCGCAGCCCCACCTAACTCAAAGGGTGTCTGTTGTGGGGAGGGGAAGGGGAAGGAGTTTGTAAGCCGCTCTGAGACACCTTTGGGTAGTGAAGGGCGGGGTATAAATCCAGTCTCTTCTCTTCCTCTAATTCATCTCTGTAACTAAATTTCAAATGGTTTCGGTTATTTAAAGATCTTCAGTTTAAGACACTCTAAGGTCACTTTTCACATTTTATGGTGGCTAATACTTGATAACTGAGAGCCAGTATGATATAGAGCTTAGAGTGTTGGACTGAAACCCGGGTTTGAATCCCTAATCAGTCACAGAATCTTGCTGGGTGACCTTGGACCAATCACATATTCTTAGCCTAACCTTCCTCACAGGGTTGTTGTAAGAATAAAATGGAGGAGAAGAAAACAATGTAAGCTGCTCTGTGCTCACTGGAGACAAAGGCAAGGTATATGTGAAGTAAATAAATATGTTTGCCACTTGTATAAGCACTTGTAAGAAATGGTGGCCAATCAACTGCTCTTTGTACATGTATCTGTATCGTTCATGTAGATGAAATTATGCATATGCTGCACAAAGTACACCTTAAAAACTAATCACAAAGGGGCAGCCATGTTTGTTACAATACCCAAAAGAAGTCTTGTAGCTCTCAACAACATTTATTGTGACCTATGGTTTCATCAGATACATGAAGTATGTCCTCAGTGGCAAATATGTAATACAACAGCACAGAGTAAAAAGGAAATTAACGGCAAGAGATATAATTCTGTAACTTTACATAGAAAATATTACCTTCCTCGCAAATATACACATAAGGAAGAGAGTCTTATTTGTGTAGGGATGTACATAGACCGCATTTTTGTGGTTCAGTTCATGTTTCGTGGCTGAATCACAAATCGATATGCAAGTTCATGACCCAAAGTGATTTGTATCAGTTCGTGAGCTTTTAAACACCTGTCTTCAGCTCCCCATGGAAAGCGGCAGAGAGCAGAAAGCTGAGGGTGAAATGGCTCAGAACCACCACCACCCTGCTTTCTGCTTGCCACCACTTCTGGCCACAAGCAGAAAGCGAGGGGTGAAATGACTAGGGTTGCCAAGTGCTTACCATAGAGTTTTCCCTCGGATGATTGTGGCGCCGCCCCCAACGTGCCCGACATGCTTGTGTCACTTCCGTGTGACATGCTTTGGGGGTGGGGTTCCCCCAGAAGCCCGATCCGGCGGCGGGGGAACGGGCCTCCCGGGCGGGGGTTTCCCCACCCCCCGGGGGGACTTGGCATCCCTAGAAATGACTCAGAGCCATTTAAACCCCTGTTTTCTCTTCCTGCCACTTTTCAAACAGGTGAGCATCAGGGGGCAGAAAGCAGGAGTTTAAATGGTTCGCAGCCATGTAATCCCTTGCTTTCTGCTCTTCACGAACTACCATGAGCTGCATTAAAATTTGTGGAAGTTCACTGCAGTTCTTCAGTTCGTGAACATTGCTTCACAAACCACGAACTGGCCCAAATTCATGATGAACTTTAATTTGTGAGCCGGTTTGCACCCATCTCTATATTTGTATGTTGGGGCCTGAGCAGGGGTCATTGTCAGGGCCTCATGAATTGTCATCCCGGATTTTTAGGCACTGACATAAAACTTACAGAGCTTTCAAAGCAAAGTATTTGGAAGTGTCTGGAATGCTGAGCCATTATGACTGACATCTATAGTTTACACAGAGGCTCCAAAAACTGGGTGCAAAGTCCAGAAAAGAAGCTTGTGAATGCAGCTGAACACAATCTTTGTGATACTTCCTATTCTACTTTCCGTTTGTGTGCTACCACTGCTGAGGAAAGCTTGAACAATTTTTTTTTTTTTAGTTTAAAATTCAGTTACTATTGTTGTCACGAACCTCACACTGAGTGGAGACACAACATACATTTTAGAGCTCTGGCAAGGGCACCAAGGACATACATTACAATTAGATACATGCAGCAAGAGAGAGAGAGAGAGAGACAGAGACAGAGAGACAGACAGACAGGCGGAGATTTTCCTGTAAATAAACATTTAAGCAGTAATTTTAACACCGCCTCTTTTGCTGGAATGTAGCTCAGTTTGCCCATAAGAACCTGCCCGTGGAGACAGCCATTCTTTTTCTATGATCCAGCACTTTGGAATGTGCTGCCCTGTTCCCCAAGGCAATTCTTACTTCCTCTCCCAATGTGGGAAAGGCTAAAAGGCTATGAGAAACATAAATATCAACAAGGTGTGTGTCCCTTTTTAATAATGATTTAATGACATAGCCACTGGCCTTTCAGAAGCATCAATACTGCTATGACCAGTAATCCATGTTTTATATGTTACTTAATATATACATAAGCAATAGCCCAAGTCAGATGTTTGTTATACAATATCCAACTCAGTAGGATTTCCTAAATTCATTTCCCCCAAAACTGAGATTATACATATTATATATTAGGATGGAATCTGAATTAGACATCAGGCTTCATGCTGATCTTCCTTTAAAAATTGCATACATATTACAAAAATTACATCCAGACAGGAAATTCACATAAATGTTTGCAACTAAATCTAAGAGGAATCCAGTGCACCTTGATCATAATACGATAAATGTGGAAGACACATTTCTAGTGCAATCAGTATCTGAAAGTGGACTTTGACTCATGAAACCTTATACTCAGAAAAATGTGTTGATCTTTAAGGAGCTATTGGACTTGAATTATGTTTAGCCTAAATAGAGTTACACTCTTCTACACCCATTATTAAACTGCTAAACAGCCGCCGATTCGTCATCGGTGCACTCACGCGCCCCACAACAGCGATCCCCAATGTGGTGCCTGTGGGCCCCATGGCATCTGCTGACACCTTTCCTGGAGTCTACCAAGTGTTTTTAGAAAGTGGGTGGGGCCAGTTGGGGCTCCTGCTCAGCAGGGCTTCTGATTGGCCACTGGAGATCTGACTGGCTCTGCATATTAAAATAACGTAATTTTGTTGGCAGCTGCCACTGCAGTGTTGGATTTGTTCTCTCACTCCTATTTCCCAGTGTATTTTAAAACTTACTCCTCTTGTCCTCTGTGCTTGGGCTACTTCTGACATGTGTGTGTGTTGTTCCACCTCTACCAATGACCATTTGCTGGTTGTGCACACCACCCTGTGTTAGAATTCCAGAGATGTCCACAGGCTCAAAAAAATCGGGGGGAACTCCTGCTCCACAAGAAATCAGACTCATGAGCTTGTTCTTATGCTATTCATGGCTGGACACAGATCCCAACACAGATCTGGAAAGTTTCTGATTCCACAGGCTGGAAATCTTACAAATAGAATCGTCATGTTCACACTGTAGTATGGGAACACATTTACTCCACAACCACATCCTTATTTGGTTTGTTTAGCATATATCAATAAAATTCACTTTGGAAGCCCAAAGGTTTGCTCAAGAGATTCTGAGAATTTACTGCAAAAAAAGAGCCAGAGATGAAATTAGGGGCATTGGTAAGATAGTGAGAAAACTGCTTTACATGATTCCTGGTAACATCATGCACACCGCATGCTTTCTACTGCCAGCAACTGAACTAGCAGTCAACTAGACAAAAACTTGCCTTTATTTTAAGCAGCTCAGATCACCAATTCCCACAAATCACCCATGCACATTTTGCAGCTTTGTCACTTACCTGAATTAACTGGCAATTCATGACGACTGGTGGAAAGTGATAACCTTTCTTTTTCCATCTCTTCTTTTAATATCAATTGGCCCAGACCTGAGTTGAGCTGTGTATGGCAATGGAAAACAACATGTAAGCTAATGAAAAGAAATCATGTATTGTTCACATTGATACATATGGGGATTTACATCAAAATATTAGCCACCTTCATCAATTGTTCCTCCTGTAGTTGTCGACGCCTCTGAAGTTCCTCAAGATCTTCATCTCGGCCGGTTGATCTGCGTCTCATGTCAGAACCTACTTCCACAGCACAAAAAAAGCCTCTTGCAAAATGTACATAAAGATTGACAACTATTACAAATATGGCCTTAAGGTTGCTTGCTGAATAAAGAAATAAATGCACCATGATATTAATTGGCACCCAACCATCCTGCCATTTTTACCTCAATATAATTAAGGTAGAAACATCACCAATTTTGGGGACAACAGGTTCACTTTACATGTAAAACCCACATTTTAGCTACTTCCTATTGACTGATGTAGCCTCTAAATATTTGGCTAGCAATTAATGTGGCTAGTGTTCTTAGACTGGGGGACAGTGTGGGTACCAGAGACAAAACTCATCCAAGCTGCCAGTTGGTTGTCCTAGTCAGGTACAACGGGAAAGACTTCCAAACTTGACTCTGGGTTTTAAATAGGCATTGCATAGTTGGTTGCTGTGTCCACACATTGATTCTTCAGTTCACAGTGGGAGGGGTCATGCTTTGGCATCTCAAGTTCAAAAGCGTAGCTTTTTAAAACTGTAGTTTTGGATGAACTAATCTGCCCAAGTGAAGGTGATTTCCCCCAGGGCCTCTATAGGGCCAGTCTTGTCTTCCAATATTTTATTTTCCCTCCAGGTCTCAAATTCTGCAGCCAGTAAAAGCTGCATTCGGTGAACTGAACAAAGAATTCAGTCAATTTATATAGATTAGATCAGGGTTCACAAACATTTTGGCACTGCAGGCACCTTTGGCATTCTGACAGAAGGTGGTGGGCACAATCACAAAATGGTTGCCACAGGAGGCGGAGCCAACCACAAAGTGTCAGGAAGTGTGGTTGTACATAACTCTGATGGTAACTTTGCAACCGTTCAGACAGAAGTTCTGTGTAATGGGATGCCTTTTAAAATTAATAGTTTAAAATATTTTCTTGTATGCACATAAAATAAGTACATATATTGAGCTAGCTAAGAAACCCTCATTTGGCCACATCTGTCTTCATTTTGCAGGCATCTAATATGCTTATGCAGAAGGAAAAAATGCTTCCCCATGGCTATTCCCTTTACAGGAGCCCTTCTCTTGTGAGCACAGCCATTTTCAACTAGCACTATTACTTGTAACAACAACATCTGATACTAAAGGGCTGGTGAGAGCTCCTTGCACATGTATATAATAAGAGAGAGATTCTGGACAGACTTTGATTGGAACATTTTGAGAAGTGACCAAAATTTGATACAGTGATCTTACTATTAACTTCCACCTGAATCAAATTATAAATGCACACTCAAATTGGAAAAACCCGATCACTTCAATAGAAGTTCCAGTTAGGCACATTAAGCATTTTTGCCATGGAGTTCATTAATTTTTAGTCAGAAGCCAGGCCCACTGTGTTTTTAGAATATCACTCAGCTATTTCCACAGGTACTAGATGGAGGAGGAAGAGATTGGATTTATACCCTGCCCTTCAACTACTCGAAGGAGTCTCAGAGCGGTTTACCCTCCCTTTCCCTTCCTCTCCCCACAACAGACACCCTGTGAGGTAGGTGGGGCTGAGAGAGCTCTCTCGAGAACTGCCCTTGAGAGAACAGCTCTCAAAGAACTTATGACTGACCCAAGGTCACACCAGCAGCTGCATGTGGAGCAGTGGGGAATCAAACCCAGTTCTCCCAGATTAAAGTCTGTGCTTTTAACCACTACACCAATGTCAGCCTGATACCTGAAATGTCAGAAACTCAAAAGGCCCCACCTGGCCCCATTCACTTTCTAAAAACACATGATGGGTGCCAGGAAAGGTGGTGGCAAGCTCTGGGGTATCCATAGGGCATCGTGTCAGGGACCCCTAGATTAGGTTGCGCAGTTTATTAGAACAGCAAATATCTGTATATGGAAGAATTTGTTCACTGAGAGGAAAACATTGGAAGATCCATGCATACGGAAGACCAGGGGGACAAAGACTTCATACCTGACTATGTGCTTAATGAGATAACTGCATACATAGTAGTGCACTTAAGCTTACTTTAACAGGAAAAGCTGTTTGGGGGAGAGATAATTTTCAGGGGATAAACAGCTGGGGGTGTGTGTGTACTTAACCCTTTCCCAATACACCATTTTTTTTGCTGCAACATGCCTCCTCACAGCTGCTTTGCCCAATATGGGGTTTCTGATTCATTTTTACCCTCACAAACATGATCTGAAACTCTGAAGTGTGTGGAACTATCTTAAGAGGAGAATTCCAGCAAAAAAATAGTGGATAGGAAGGATTACCATTCTCTCCTCCTGCGGTTTGTCTACTGAAAATTGTCCACTGCTGAAGCTACCTTTCTTAGCAAAAGCAGCTGCAAAACACATAAACATAACATCTATTTAAGTCATATTAAACCACTGCAGATGTACTGTCTATGTTCTGAGTTTCTACTAGACATTACTAAAATATTTTCAGATTTGCTACACATGAGGGCTGCTAAATAGCTTTTTAAAAAAAAATTGAAAGATTTTGTTCTAAGGTTTCTAACAAAGCTATCATGTTCAGTGTTAGAACAAAACGTTATTGCCTGGCTTATTATATTTCCCTGCCCTAGGCCAAATTCACATGATTACTTCTGGATTGGAAGAAGTCAATATGAAATAATTTTGCAATGACAATTTACATAGTAAATACACTATCTAGGGCCAAGTTCAGACTGGCAGTTTGAAGCGGGAAAGAGGCATTGCGAAAAAGAGCCGGAACAAACTGTTCCGGGTTTTCCCTGTCACACTGCACGGACTGGTGCGGGAGCATACGGGGGTAGGCATGAGGGAGCGTTCACACTGTTGGCCCGGAGGCGCGGCTGTAAGCGGCGTTTTCCTCGTGGCAGATGCCTAGGTGCAACAGCAAATAGGGCAGGATCCGGCCGCTGTGGGCCATAGGCACATCTGGCCACTTCACTACCCCCTCTTCAAGGCAATCACCTGCACCTTCCTGGTGCCAGAGTGAGGCTAGGAGGTCAGTCAGCATAAACAGCCGGCGCACATTATTACCATGGGCTGTTCCTGGCTTTTAGCGGTTAGCGTTCACACTTTTGGGAAGCGGAATGAAGCTGGATAAACGGGCTCTCCAGGGTTTGCTACCACTTTCACCAAGTATCTGTTAAACCCGGTAGGCAAGCGCTACAAGACGGGTTGAGTATGGGTGGGGAACGCCGGACAGATGTGCCTGTGTGAAAGGCCCCTTTAATCCGCTTGTGAAACGTTCCTCACATGTGCCTATATTAGGGCAAACTGCCAGTCTGAACTCGGCCTAGATGTATCCTAACAGGACCAAAAGCAGTACTTACTATTTCACAGTGAACACTTGCCTTCAGCCATGACAAAGTAAATCAGATTCAACTCACGTGCTTTTAAAATTAGTATTAATAACATACTTAGGGTGATTCTTCTCCAATAAAATGTTGACACAATCACATAATACTAACATGACAACATGAATCTGATACTGAATCTCATTGACTTTACCATGTCTGAAAAATAGCACCAACAAGCCTTCGTCTAGCAATTTCAGTGTTCAAAGTGCTTCACGTATATTATCATTATTCCTCAGCCCTGTTAGGCTAGCATTGTTATCTCCATTTTTCAGATGGAGAACTGAGGCTGAGACAGAGTGGCTTGCCTCAAGCTACTTAGGGGATCTGTGAGATAAGGTCCTGGATCCTCTCAGATTACTGTTCAGGCTCTTATAATGCAACCCTAAGCAAAGTTACACCCTTATATGTCCACTAATATCAATCTATTTAGGAGAACACAACTCTGTTTAGGATTGCACTGTTAGCCACTACAGGACACCAATTTCAGAAACACATTAATCAGACTTTAGTGTGAAATAGGTAATAAGGGTTTAATGCAGCTGACTTTTGATGATGATCATGATACACTCATTGGGCTTAAAAAAGATCATATATATGATCCAGAAGAAGAACAACAACAATACAAAAGATAAAATAAATACCTTAAAGTATAAAGATGAACCAACTTAACCACTTAGCTATTTATGATATGATTGTCTCATCAAGAACCCCAGAAATGTCATTTTGTATAATGCTGTTTCCTAACATGATATAATGAAATGGCAAAACAACAAACAACCAGAACAGAAAAACAAGAACCAAAAACTGAAAGAAGTCAGGCTTCATTGCAGTATTCAAGGAATCGTACTAGCTTTACTGAGGCTGTCAAGGTTAGAATTATCAACTACTTAATCTGAGCATATCCTTTCTGTAAAGACTAAATTCTATTGACACAGTCCTCACAATATTAATAGCCATGATATAGGGGTCCATGAATGTATGGAAATCCAGATTTTTCTCAGTTCCCCCCCCTCAGAAGATATCTTATAGAACCACAGAAACCCTACTTAAATGCTCCTGAATTCCAAAAGTATTGTGGGGGGGGCATACATTTTGAAGAGAGAAAATTTTAGACAGCAACTCCTTTAAAAAAAAAACATTATTCCCCCCCCCCCACTTCTTTGTGAATTCTGGGAAGTTTTAAGTGAGGCATATGGCTTCTGTGAGGAATTCCTAAGGGAAATCGGGCCATGCATGCCTCTGGAGTGAGGACTCTGGGGATTTGAAATCCCACAACTTTCAACATTATAAATTCTAGACTTTTCTCGAGGGAACCTTTTTTCTTTACACTCTTGCTATTAAATATCTACACCTTTAAGAGTAATAAAGGAGCAAGAGTGGACAAGTTCTTTGCCTTGTATCAATTATTTTCAAATTTTAATAAGTAGTGTGAGGGTGTTGTTTTTTGTTTTGCTCACATCATTTGTTATTCCATACCTACAGCCGCAAGTGAGGGAGGACCTGGCCAGTATTCTGTCTCAATCTTTGGAATCTCGTTGGGTGCTGGAGCGTGGGCTGCTGGGAACGTGGAGGACTTGATGATATCATCGGAGGACTTGTTCTGGGCTGCCAAAGCAGCTGCATCTAGATGGCAATCAGGGGAACTTGACTATCAGATTAAGTTGCTATGTCATAGTCTACATCGGTGCTATGGTTCATTTCTACATCAAGTTCTATTACAATTCATAAAGTTAGCACTATATACATTCTTTTTTCCATGCTGTCACTCAGCAAAAGATAAAACGCTCCCCCTTAATATCTTGGGTCAAAATTTAAGTCTCCAGCCCCATTTCCAAATCAAAAGATTGGGCTCCCTGCTAGATATAAATGTAACACTGAAACAGTTACACTGATGCTTTCTCCTAAGGGAAGAGCCTGGCTTCCATCCATCTCTGCAATGTAAATGCAGACATACATACTGTGATTCAAAGGACGGTTCACCCATCAATTTTCCCCTTCTTCTCCATACTTCAGATAGGCTATCCACCTTTTAAGTAGCACTATATTTATGTTTATTATTATTATACCTTATTTTTAAAACAATCTTAAATGTTGTAAAATTGCTCTAGAGAAGGAAGCTGGCATTATGACAACATAACCACAAGCCAGTCAGAACTGGGTACAGTCAATATCTTGTAGAACTGGGTTTCCCTGAGCTCAGCCCAGGATAGAAAATTGCTTGTTTCAACTAAAGTATATTTCCAGAGCAGCCCTACTGCTCAAATAATGTTTTGTCTGTATGCAACTTGAGAGTAGTCAGAAAGAGACTTGTGGGAGTGACACAAGTACAGTATGACATTATTATTTTTTTTTAAAAAAACTGGTAGTAGCCTTTAGTAAAAGTAAATCTAAACAGGCCACCTTTTTTCTATGTAAGGCGAGAAACTAGGAATAATTCTTTGGTGTTTTATTGGTTCTATCCAATTAAATTTTACAAAATCC